CAGTTAGCACATCACTACCATTTGTTTTGGGCTTGCCCTTTAATAGTAACTTTTTGGCAAAAGATCCATTTAGAAATTGAAATAGTACTTAAAGGTGGGGTATGTCATTTTGGAGAAACCAGCTCGAGTGCGCTAGAATTTGAAAATACACAAACAACACGAGGTATACCTAGGATGAAAATGACAGGCCTCTCATCTTTTTAAGTGGGAGAACTTGCACAATTGGTGGCTGACTAAATACTTTTTGCCCCACTGTGTATATACTGGCCTAGCCAGTCTCCAGATCTCAACCCCATAGAAAATCTTTGGAGGGAGTAGAAAGTCTGTGTTGCCCAGCGACAGCCCCAAAACATCACTGCTCTAGAGGAGATCTGCATGGAGGAATGGGCCAAAATACTAGCAACAGTGTGTGAAAACCTTGTGAAGACTTACAGAAAACGTTTGACCTCTGTCATTGCCAACAAAGGGTATATAACAAAGTATTGAGATGAACTTTTGTTATTGACCAAATACTTATTTTCCACCATAATTTGCAAATAAATTCTTTAAAAATCAGACAATGTGATTTTCTGGATTTTTTTTCTCATTTTGTCTCTCATAGTTGAGGTATACCTAGGATGAAAATTACAGGCCTCTCTCATCTTTTTAAGTGGGAGAACTTGCACAATTGGTGGCTGACTAAATACTTTTTTGCCACACTGTGTGTGTATATATATATATATATGTATGCATATGTACATGTGTAGACATTTGCCATTTCAAAAAACCCCTGTTTACTTTTTTTTTTTTTTTTATTTTGACAAATTTTGTTTGCTATTTCATTTGTCATTTTCAGGTCGCTAAAAATATATGATTTGAAAAACTGTACTTTTAATATAATGTGACCCCAAATAAATAAAGAATAAAAAAAGAAAATAAATAGTGGCTCTGCAGCAGCTTTACTCGTCATTGAGAAACGGCCAGGGTCTGACTCAGGCTGCAGAGAGGCATTCACATGACAGAGGACAACAATAGAGTTTCTTGCAGTGCAGCTCTCCCTCACCTTCACATGGGGCCGTGGTCCATACTTACGAGTGTGGAGCATCAGTGCTCTACGCAGCATTAAAGGTGGCAAGATTGACATTTAAATCCACACACGCAACAGAATCACATTTTGTCTTTGCAAAGTGCCCTCCCACGATTTATCCATGTAAACCAATCTGTGTTATGTTCAGTATTACTCACATTATTTAAATATTTTCAATTAAAAAAAATATATATATATTAGATGTCTTACCTTGAGAAATTCCTTTTTGTCCACCTGCTCATTGCCATCAACATCAAGCATTTTGAAAGCAATATGAAATCCTATGTGTGGCTCTGAAACAGAAATGCAGTCAATAATCTGAACTCAGACTGAATATAATCACAGGAATCAATGCACATAGTAGGGCAGAGTAGCATTTCTCAACACAACCTGGAGGACAGTGTTGAGAAATAAATTAAATCAGGTTACCAGCTGACTCACAGAAATGTGCAAGAAAATGCAGAGTCACAATAAGTCAGGCAAATCAATTCAGCACAGTATGAATGAGAGAAGGGGGCTACTTACTGGTCAGGATGGTCAGCAGGAACAGATACTCCGTGTAGGATATCAAACCTGCAAGAGACAAAGAAATGTACGCTGAATTATATTTAGGAAATAAAATAACCAATAAATGTAAGGACAGAATTTGAAAACAAATACTAAGATACAGATGTGAATTGTTCTTGTTTCAAAAGGCCCTATTGTGCTTTTTGGGGGGTTCCCTTTCCTGTAGTGTGTTTTATAGGTTTAAGTTCCCTCAAGAGGGAGTTTCTCTCCCCCCTCCTTCTATTGTCTAGCGCTCGAACACATTGTACATGATAGGCTAAGGGGAGGGACATCTCTTAGTGGTTGACCTATCACAACAGAGCCGGCCAGCTAACAATCAGAGCAGACTGGGCTCTGGTTTCAGACAGAGGGTGAAAAGAGGTGCTGCAGCACAGGCAGTATGAGAAAAATAAAGAGCTTTTTGAACATTAAAGCCTGGAGACATGTCACAGAAGAGACCCTAAATACTGATATGAACCTGAAAATGAGAAGATAGGGCCTGTTTAAAGTTTAGAACTTACCATCGTCTCCTATTGTTCTGAACAGTTCATTACCGGCCAGAGCTTTAGAGGCAGTGGCCAACATGTGGTTAACCTCCTGCAATAAGAAACAGATGACAACACAAACTGATGATCTTCAAGTGCTACTAACTGTAGCTGACTCATTTACAAAATGTGAAGATGTTAACATACCTGTGTGGTTAAACTTTTCTTCTGCAGCTTTCCTACAGGAGAAGAAACCAAGTGTTGTTCATAAAACAACCAAAAACTTAACAAGGAACAGTGTAGGGCCTTAAATGTGTTTTTGTAAATGTATGCTGCATTTTTCGAGGGTTAATGCCCAAGTGTTGCACTCAATATTTCCAATGATAGCACATATCATCCTGTGTTAACTGTCAGCAGATGATGGATATCAATAAGCTTACGGTCCACATTCTCCAGCATCACAGAGAACAGGAAGTCTCTAGGGGTCATGTAGGGCTCCTGCTCGTACACCACTGAGGCGAACTGGATGAACCGAACCTTCCTGGCTGACAGAGCTGGAGCTGCTACTTCCTGAAACACAGGTATCAGAGAGCACTGTGATAATAAGCAACATTAAGTGTGTGTGTGTGTGTGTGTGTGTGTGTGTGTGTGTGTGTGTGTGTGTGTGTGTGTGTGTGTGTGTGTGTGTGTGTGTGTGTGTGTGTGTGTGTGTGTGTGTGTGTGTGACAGTTGGGGGGCGTCAAAATTAGCTCCTTTTTTTTGTGCAAGTGTACCTAGTATTACGCTCTTACAGTACATATTAATATAGGTGTCTGGGTAACTTATCTTTAGCAGCTTAATATTCGACCAGACAGACACACGACAGATGGGTTTGTTCGACGACATACATTTTAGTTAGACTTTGGTTAACTTTTATTAGGCGTGAACTCACTTTCGGTGCCTCGGCATGGACAGCAAAGTGCAGAGTCCTGTTAGGAAGATATTGGTAATAACAGATAAGCCCGGTACCGAGAACTGAGCCCACTATAGCGGGTCCGACAGCACGGTGCCGTGCTACAGCTCTCAGAGACCGAGGACTCCTCACTGCGTTCCTGAAGACGGAGACGAGCCTCCCGAGGGCAGCCATGTTCAGGAAGGGAGCTGCTACTAAGCCACGCCCACATAGGAAGAGAACTCAATGATCACGTGACACCTCCGTCCCGGTGTTGTGTCAAATTATGCACCCCCATCGTGAAATGCACCCCTTGTCACGGGAACGCGCATTTGTAAATGAAACGTTAAGACTCTAAGACCTTAAAACGATGCTTAAAACGAAAATTAAACGTCCAGGTTTTTTTAATGGTAATTTACTGTGAGACGCGTAGTGGTAGCTCATATAGTCTTGATTCTTGTGGTTAAAACTTTTCGCTCCGTGTTTTGATGGTAGTGTTGTCGAATCCTGGATGTTTCATTCATTCGTCACTTCTTTTACGTTCCCACAGAACTAAACTGCATTCTCGTTACGTTTAGCTAGAAACGTATTTTCTCCCACGTTTGTTATCAATGTACCTCAAATAAGTTTATTTTCTAAATATCTTCTAGAAACGAATTTTCTCCCACGTTACGTTAGTTATGAATGTATCTTAAATACGTTTATTTTCTACATATCTTTGCCATTTATTGTCTTGCGTATTTGTCATATAATAAACAAAATATATGTTTACAAATGTTACATAGTCTTTGTCAGCATATTTTTGCCACGTTATGCACCCCTTGCTATCTTTTTGGGTGGGGTGCATTTTATGACAGGCCTGCTTAGGGGGGCATATTGTGATAAGCAGGCCTGTCATAAAATGCACCCCACCCAAAAAGATGGTTCTCTTATTCCCACCCTCAAGCATTTTTCAGGGTATGGTTGTAGGACTAGTACCAAAGAATGGAGCAAGTTTCAAATGTGAGACTTTTATTTTGTAAGATAGCAAGGGGTGCATAACGTGACAAAAATATGCTGTGTAACATTTGTAAACAAATAAGACAATAAATGGCAAAGATATGTAGAAAATAAACGTATTTAAAATACGTTGATAACAAACGTTACGTGGGAGAAAATATGTTTTTAGCTAAACGTAATTGAGAATGCAGTTTAGTTCTGTTGGAACGTAAAAGAAGTGACGAATGAATGAAAAATCCAGGATTCAACACCACTACCCATTACTAAGATCCCCTTCAGTAATGTTTTAGACAGCAAAATACTCTGCTTCAAATACTAATTTGATTAAGGATAATAACTTCAGCCTTAAACATTAGCCTAAAGAAATCTTTAAATTACATATAGAGCTAGGCCTACCCCTCCTTCCTTATTCAAATATAAAGGTAATGTTTAATTTCTCCAAATTGCCCTGTGCATCTTAACAGTATACTGAAGTGTAAATGTAGCTTTGGATAAAAGTGTCAGCTAAATAACATGCAATAGTAATAAGGTCCAAAGTTAAGCTGCTGGACACAACATATTTTCTTCCATTATCCAGTTGGCCATTTATCAGACCTGCAGGCCTTAAACTGTGTGTGAAGTCTCTTAATACTGCTAGTCCAGGTGATTAACTGAGATACAAAGTGAGGGCAGACCTTTAGTGTCAAACTCACTGTCTGTATTATAAAAAAGAAAAACACCAACCAATGGGAATCAATGTTTATTGTTTACTACTGAAGAAGACAACAAACTACTTCCAGGTATAGAATGGCCATCTGAAACAAACCATCATCTTGAGTAACAGGATCCATGGTTACAGCTCACATGAGTCTTAAGAAACAATGGCGCCTCTATCCTGTTCCTCCTGCACCAGGACCTTCTGTCTCAGAAGACAGGCAGCACCATGGACCATCCCACAACTTCAGTCATTAAGCATTGGGAGGAGAGCAGAAGAGTTAACAATGACAGGTAATGCCACAGAAGAGGAGATGTTCTCATAATTAACCTGACAGTTGAAATAAGAATAATCTTTGGAGGTGAATTTTGGGTTTTCTTCTGTAATTGATGGAAATACATTAATCCACAACTGACTTTTGGAATTAGATAAGCAGTTTGGATCCTGTTTATTTCTCTGCAGTGTTACAAAATGGATCATACAATCTTCTTTGGAATTATTCACTGCTAAAATGATCATGTGTATTATGTTCCATAATCCATATTCCATTCGAATGTGTAATATTTAATTTCAGACTCCTTAAATACAAGTTAAATATTGTTGTCACTACAGTTTAGTGACAGAGCATGATGCAAAGTGTAATTTTTAATCTGGGCCAGCATTGATTTGTCACAGAAGGAAATCATTCCTATTGACCCAAGTTTCACAGACATAATACATTAATGTTTAAAATGTAGACAAAAGTACCGTCAAAGCCTTTTTAACCACATTTCTTAAACAAGCAGAGAAAATATAATATTTCCCTCATCATTAGACAATTAAATCACAATATGTGGCCATGATACAAACCTAGAGAGTCAGTGGAACTGGACTGATTCTATGAGACAATACCATATTTCTTATTTCCACTGACAAATATTGGCAGATTTTATTCAATTCAATAAACTCATCATAATTTAAATGTACATTCTGAAAACATACAACAAGTTGTGCACATTTTGAATGTATGTATGTTTTTGTGTTCTATTGTATAACAGACCCTGCACCAATACTGTCTGTGCATAGGGCTTTACTTAAGTGCAGAACAAAGTTTGCACGTACCTTTATTTTTACCGAGATGAGTTACTCATTCATGTCCAATAACATTTTATTTAAACTGCACTTGTAATTTAAAGGACAATTAGAATGTTCATTGGTAGATATATTAAAGCCAAACATACATGTGTGTATTGGCGGTATGCTGCATATTCTGCTCAATGTTTGCATTGTACCCTTGTACATAGCCGTGGGAACATGTTTCAAATGGGGGGTGCTGTGGGGATGACACCAGGGCCGGTTTTCACCAATGTGCTGCCCTAGGCAAGATTTTAGCTGGCATTGAAAAACCTCTACAAAAGACCAATACACTACAAAAAGAGAAACGTATTGACATGGTGGACAGCTTATATAAAAAGGCTTCAAATGTATTTAGTATTGCATGAACATGTTTTAATTTAGGGGGTGGACTTCACATCCTCTTGGGGGATCCGGGGGTGCACCCCCGGGAAGATTTTTTTTTAACATTTTAAAGTAAAATGCTTCAATCTGGTGCACTTTGAGCGCCCAATTGCTAGAGACTGATCTAGGGGATACAACTCTAAACACCCATATGAAAAAGATCGGTTTGCATTTTAATAATCAAATAATATATGTGAACATAACCAATAACCTACCATAGCCAATAACAAATAAATGTAGGCTAACTTGTTTTATTTTTGTTAACATTTATTTATTTATGCATATTTTTAAATCTCTCCAGTTTTAAACAATATTTTTGGTTTACTGTCCTATAGTATACATTGGAATGATTTCAAACCTGTTTTTATTCAGCCTAATAATTATAAAGGAGTGCCTTGGAAATATTTGTTTACATAAATTGTGATCAAAACATTTGAGACCCACTCA